CGCAGCCGTGGACGTCGAAGCCGTTGACGGAGGAGCCGTAGGGGACAACGGAGCAGCCTGGGGGGGACACGGGGACAGGTGGGGATGGGTGTGGGGCACACCTGGGCACACCTGGATCACACCTGGGCACACCTGGACACACCTGGACACACCTGGGACACATCACACACACCTGGGCACACCTGGATCACACCGGGGCACACCTGGGACACATCTCACACACCTGGGCACACCTGGACACACCCAGATCACACCTGGACACACCTGGATCACACCTGGGACACACCTGGGCACACCGAGATCACACCTGGACACACCTGGGGCACACCTGGGGCATGTTACACACACCTGGATCACACCTGGGCACATCACACACACCTGGGCACACCTGGGACACACCTGGACACACCTGGATCACACCTGGGACACACCTGGACATGTCTCACACATCTAGATCACACCTGGGCACACCTGGATCACACCTGGGACACACCTGGACACACCTGGGACACATCACACACACCTGGGCACACCTGGGACACACCTGGGCACACCTGGATCACACCGGGGCACACCTGGGACACATCACACACACCTGGATCACACCGAGGCACACCTGGACACACCTGGATCACACCTGGACACACCTGGGACACGTCTCACACACCTGGATCACACCTGGATCACACCTGGACACACCTGGGACACGTCTCACACACCTGGATCACACCTGGATCACACCTGGACACACCTGGGAAGAACTCTGTGAACACCTCTCGGATCAGGGCCAGCAGCAGCTCCCGCAGGCGGCGCTCGGCCGCGCTCAGCTCCAGAGCCCGCACCAGCAGCTGCAGCTGCGCCCCCACCTGCGGCAGGGCAAACTGGGAGCACTGGGAACGCAAACTGGGCAAACTGGGAGCACCGGGAACGCAAACTGGGCAGACTGGGAGCACTGGGAACGCAAACTGGGCAAACTGGGAGCACCGGGAACGCAAACTGGGCAGACTGGGAGCACCGGGAACGCAAACTGGGCAGACTGGGAACGCAAACTGGGCAAACTGGGAACACTGGGAACACACTGGGCAAACTGGGAACCGCCCCCCACCTGCGGCAACGCAAACTGGGCAACCTGGGAGCGCTGGGAACCGCCCCCCCCACCTGCGGGAACACAAACTGGGCAAACTGGGAACATGGGGCAAACTGGGAACGCTGGGAACCGCCCCCCACCTGCGGGAATCCTGTACCGGGCAAACTGGGAACACCGGGAAACCCTCTCTGCCCTTACTGGGCAAACTGGGAGCACTGGGACCCCCCCTAAA